ACCACGACGTCTTCTAAATCCAGCCTGCACATCTGGCAGTTCTGTTGATATATTGTTCCAAACATTTTTGGATAATTTTCAGCAGAATCTTGCTTGCATGTGATATTAGGATATTGTTCGATAATTTCCACACTCTATTGGGTTACCTTTCTTTGGAATGGAAACAAACATCGATCTTTTCCAGTCAGTGGTCCAGCTGGCTGTTCTCCAGATTTCTTGGCACAACTTAGTGAGCACATCCAGGGCAGTGTGTGTCTGTTGAAATATGTCAATTGGTATGCCGTCAACTCCTGGAGCCTTGTTCTTTGCCAATTCCTTCAGAACAACTTGAACTTCTCCTTCATCACCATAGACTCTTGCTCATATGTCATTTCATGAAATTCTTCTGTGTCAGCCAATTCCTTCTGATATAGTGACTCTGTGTATTCCTTCCATCTTCTCTTGATACTTCCTGGATCATTTAACATTCTACCCAAAGTATCCTTAAGTGTTGCCACCATGGCTTGAATTTGTTTTTTAGCTCCTTCAGCTTAAGACTTCGGCCCTTTTGATTTTCTGACTCCAGCTTTCTGCACATTTCATTATAGTATCTTGCTTTGCCGTCCTGGGCTGCCTTTTGAAATTTTCTGTTTAGATCTTTGATTTCTTCGTTTAGCTTTGGCTCCTCGGCGCTCTAATGCAATAGTCAGAGTCTCATCTGACATCCATCTCAGTCTTTTCTTCTTCTTTAGCCTTTGTAATGATCTTTTTCTTTCTTCATGGATGATTTTCTTGATATCCTCCCAGAGCCCGTTTGGCCTATGCTCATTGGTGCTCAAGCCTCAAACCTGTTCCTGAGATGGTTTTGAAATTCGAGTGGAATAGACTTAAGATCAAATTTTGGTTTCCGTGGACTTGATTTAATTTTCCTCAACTTCACCTTGAATTTGCAGAGGAGTAGTTGGTGGTCTGTCCCACAATCAGCACCCAGCCTGGTTTTCACTGCTGATATTGAGCTTCTCCACCGAGTCTTTCCACAAATGTAATCTAAGTATTTTAAATATAGTACTCATTTCTAGGATGTTATTCTCTGAACAAAAAGAATAAAGATTGGTTTTGCTCTCTTGTTAAGAGCTAACAGTTAGCTTTGGAATGAAGTTGGTATAATGGTGGGAAGATAAGTAAAATGAAGCCTTAGATACTCAATACAAAACTCAAAAACATAAAAATGACCTGACTTTACTGGTTTAATACAGACTGGTGGAAATCTGATGTATGGCCCTTAAATAATCTTTCAACCTGCACAAAACTCATCCTTTCAGCTCAACTTAAAGCCGTTAATAAACAGACCATTAACAGCAGGGAGGCATTCACTTCTCAGAATAGTCAACTACAGAAGGTCAAAAGAGTAGCATTGGTCCACGTTAATGCTCAGAAGGCCAGAAGTGGATAAAAGGCTTAATGAATGTGATAAATCATTGAGGCAAGTGGGATATGTGTAGTTATATTTTGTGTTTTGTAATTAAGATTATAAAATCTGAATGAACAGTTGGAAGGAAAATCTGGGTTTTTTGTACCCTTTCATGAAAATTATAGTAAAAAGGGAGAAAAAAAAGACTGTGTAAAAATATGGAGAACTATCATGAGTAAAGAAAGGAATGTACAATCTTCACAAAATCATCTTGTCTGTTCAAATCTTTCTTGTTTATGTTCTGAACGGATGAGATGCTGATGTATACAGAAACAACTGAAACCTGTTTCTAGTCTTGATTCACTGCCCTAAGAACTCTGTAACAGCTTAGAGATGGCAGAGAAAGGAACTGAGATTTCTAAAAAGAAAGAGGAAGCCATGAACAGCACTGATCTCAGGTTCAGATTCTAGACTGATAAACAAGGACTGATAAAGCTTTGATTAGAATATATACAACCATGAATGGTGTAGATGCAATAAACAGACACTTGACAAGATAAAAAATGTAGGAACTATCCTTTAAAATACTGCTGAAATATATATGTAATAAACACATAGTAAGTAATTTACAAAATCACTTGCCATGTTTGCAAAATTTATAATCAGAGGCTTTATGTAGAATGTAAGAGACTTAGATATAAAAAGGTAAATATAGAAATCCCATATCACTCAGTTATTCCACTACTAGGAATATACCTCAAGGTAATCAGCACTGAGGCATAAATGGCGATGTGTATATTCAGGTTCATCACTGTATTATTTACAACAGCAATAATATAAAAACAAGCCAAGTTCTCATCATCATCATCAACAACAACAACAACAATAAATGAATAGAGAAACTATGGTACTTTCACACAATGGAATACTATGCAGCACTAAGGAACAACCACTTCATAAAATACTACACAACATGCGAGTGACAGCAGAACATTATGCTGAATGAAATTATACTCATCACAAAAGGACAAATGCAGCATAAGATCATTACTGTGAAAGTAGGAGGGTAACTAAGGGTGTGGGAGAGGAGAATGTTCAAAAAAAGAATGATCAGTCAACAACCACCATAAAGGATCAGGATGAGGGAAGATCAAGCTGGGAAAAATTGTCAAAGAACAATGTGGCTAATGAGAATAAAATATGTATAACTGTTTAAAAGGGGAAAGGGTGTAGAAGGAGGAGAAAATGAAAAGAAAACCCAGTAATTAATTTTGCAAGCTACAATGTATGTGAACGAATGTATAAAGCACAATGTAGAGGGATGACAAAAGGACACTGGTCAATAGTAATTAACTAAATAAAACACAAGGTATATGAATGACCTTATACAACATAATAGACATGAATGAAGCACAATGTATATGAATGATGGCATGAAAGTCAATTTTTTAAAAAATAAGCAACTATGACAGTTGAAAAAAAAGGAAGTGAGAAATACTTTGAGATTGATATCAGAGAATATATCTCTCATACACACACACACACACACACGCACGCACACACGCACACACACACCCTTCACTGGCCTCAGATCAACACCTGTAAGATCAATTTTCTGTGTTCCTTTAGTATGGAGTTTTGTACTGACATTTTACTTTACTTCACAAGTACTTGTTTCTTTAGTACATAGTGACTATGTACCTACATATACAGTTTTCAAAGTGGAATTTAAGGTCAGAGGAATCTCAGTTCCAACAGAAAGAAGAGCTTTGGGTAGATGATGCCTTTTGGACCTGGGGTTCCTACACTAAGGGTCTCTTAGACCCATAGGATGACGGAGGTCAAGTTCATGAAGCTCTCCAAGGAATGCCAGGCCCACAGATGTTGAAAGGAGACATGGATCTACCCCATAGCTGACAGAGAGAGAAGAGTGAATGCCCTAATCCAGATTTCTAGCCTCTTAAATTGTGAGAGAATAAATACCTGTTTGTCAAAGATTTTTTTTTTTTAAAAAAGAGGAATTTAAAAAGTAATCCTTAAAATCATCTACAAACTGACTTCAAGAGTTTTGCTTATTAAAACTCAAAACTCATAGTCAGCTGTCAATTGTGACACAAAACCTTCCTTCGGAGACTACCCATCATTTTCCTGTGGAGACACTGGTGGATTTGAACCACTACAGATGCACCTTTTGGTTAGCAGCACAACATGCCATGAGCAACATCACCAGAAGCTTCTCTTACTAAAATACCAACTATTTTAAAAAGTGTAAGAAAAAGATCACAAGAGAAGTAGATAAAAAGAATTAGGTGTGATAGGCAAACTTACCTCCACCTTTGTTCTAGAACTTTTCTCAAAACAACAAAAATGAGTTTTAATAAGAATTTGCCCATAACTGTTCAAAAGGGAGTAATTAAACTGTTGGTGGGATTGTATGAACCAGTACAACCACTCGAAGGCAGACTGAAGTTTCCTCAAAAAGCTGAACATAGACATTCGATAAGACTCAGCTCTTCCACTGCTTAGACTACACCCCGAGAATATTAGAACTGAGGCACAAATGGAGACTTGTACATCAATGTTCATAGCAGCATTATTCACCATTGCAAGAACAGGGAAACAGCCCAGATGTCCAACCACAAACAATGGATTGAGAAATTACAGTACATTCACATGATGGAATACTATGCAGCACACAGGAGTAATGATTTTTTTTTAAATCACTACCTAACTTAAAAAGGACTGGAGAGCATTATGCTAAGTGAACTCAGTCCCATAAGGACAAATACTCTATGAGATCATTATTGTAGAAATAGATAACTAGTGAAAAATGTATGAGGATCTAAGGTGGGGGGGTGGAGGTAGAGGGGTGATGATGGGGAGGTGGTAGTCATTGGGTTACACAATTTGATGGGTGGATGGAGGGAAAATAAAGGAAATCAGAAAGATCTGGTGTGAAAAACAATGTATGTGAACTTTGTAAGTAAACCAGTATGCAAAAAAAAGAAATAAAAATTCATTTTTAAAAAAAAAGTTAAACTATAAAACTTAGTTCTACATTGCAATAGCTTGGATAAATAAAACATGCTAACACCAAAGAAAACAAAGGCAGTAATTAGGTGTTACTGACAGAGCTAATTCAGTGACAGAGGAGCCTTACAATTTCCACAGGAGCGATGCTTCGCACCAGTTGCTGGAGGAGTGTAGCTTCACAGTAAGGGAATTTTCGGATACTCTCTCTAATGAGCTTTTCTTGATATGTTGGGAAGCCATCAGTAGCTCGGCCTTTTAACAAGCTGAAAAATATTTTTTAAAAAAGTAATTTAAGTTTAAAAACTAAGAGTTTCCTCCCAGCTAAACCTATCGAATCTTTAAAATTCCTTCCTTGCTGAGACTTCCATTATCTATTCAAATTATGTCCACAGACTCAATTAAAAGTAACTGGTGCTAGGTCTTGTCAGATCTAGGGGCCCTGAGATAGACATGCAAAGGTGAGTCCTGTTAGGAAACAGATTCAAGATTGTTATTCTACTACCAGTTTCCTATTAAAATGTCAATTATTTGTATAATGAATGGAAATGGTCATCCAGTCATGCCCTCCTTGTTCTATTTTCTTGTAACACTGATGGTAGAATTCAATCGTTGGTGGTCAGAGAACAAGGATACCATGTGAGCTTTCTAAGAAACTACAACAGACATTGGGTGTCTCTGTGAACACAAGACTGGGAACTTCAGCATAACAGACCTATTTCCTACTGTGGACTTTGCTTTTTAGCTGTACAATTTTACAGGCACTATTTAACCTCTCTAAACCTTACCTATGTATTGGGGAAAACAATCCTTTTAATACACAGTATTTTTGTAGCATATTTAGAATTGAAGACTCATTCAGTATAGTCTAAATAGAAAATGTATTTACAATTTCTCCAAGTATGAATCTAATTCCCAACAATAACAATATAATACAACAAAGACTACTATTAAAATGCTTAATTTTTAAAGCCGCGATATAGACAACATTATCCACTTGAGTGTGCTGTGTACATGACATCGTAAATAAGTACCTTTTGATCAGAGTGTCTAATTTATTCTCTCCATCTTTTAAGAAGTTAATGCATTTCTGAAAGATACAGCTAATGTAGTGCATTTTCATAGCCAATACTTCATTCATATCTCTTTGCTTCATACATTTCTCACAAATCAAATCCATCACCTTGTAGCATTTATTCAGGGCCACTTCTTCTGCCAGCAGAGGGTTCTCATTTACAAGCATCACAATCTAGAAGAAATTCCAGGGAGCTTAGAAATGCCATGAGAGACTTTTCCATTATGTATTGAATTATTTCAGGGATTTCAGAATATCTGTATACAGTCATCTCTTTACTATTCTAACTAAAATTAGAAACTAGGATGCAAACTATCATTGTTCAAAGCTATAAAACTTAAAGCCTTGGGCCCTAACATTTTGGATTCTCTTAAATGGTCTACATCAAAGCTATCACATAATCAACCACCTAACTGAACCAGTTACTAGCTTGGTTTTACTATTTCTATTACAAGCACTCTTCCTAAAGACAAGCAGTGTATATTTGTGCATATGCCTTTATATCTAGTATCAGATAACCGAGTGGCCATTGATTTATTAGTTATTATTACTTAGCTCTAGAATATCATGGCCAGGAGAAATATAATTTTTATCATTCTTATTTATTACAGAGGAATAAGACTTTTACAGGAAAAAGTCCCCCAAGTGAAATATATTTTAGTTTCCAATTAGTTACATTTCCCCATTGACATTTTCCCAGATATGCTTCCTGTCATCTACAGTAATAATAGGAGATCAAAATGAAAACCATAAATAGCTTTAAAGGGGCAGGTTTTAGAGTTAATCAAATGTTATGTATTAGGAGTCACAAAAATTCCCCACATATGCACAGGTTAAGCTCAAGTACAGCAAAGAGAGGACGCTTGACTTTGTTCTATGCTGTATCACTTGAAGTCATCCATAACTAGAGCCATAAAACTTCTCAGTGGCATAACAGTAAGGCAAACATGTGTGTAACATTCATCTGATAGCATACCTCCATCAGAGAGCCAGGGGTACTTAACCCACATATAATAGCTAAATACAAGCAGGTTTCCTAACTCTGATCCTTCTCATTGGAGATGGGGGAAAGCACACCAAAAACAAAACCATCCGCCATTTTAAAACCGCAAGCCTAGCCTCTTACTTGGATATTTAACATAAATATATGTTATGTTCACAATGTGCTGGTGAAATTGAAAATGAGTACTTTTCACTTTACTACATTTACATGTAATCTACTATTTTGCTTTCTAGCACTTAGTAAATTAAACCGAGGCAAGTATAAACAGAATAATTATTGATATCTTTTTTGATAACTTTTCCTACCATAACATACACAAAATTAATATGTGGCAATTAACAAAACCCATTTTCTATATGCTTGCTTTAAAGTTTTTAGGCTCTTTTTTTTTTCTCTTTGACTCCTTTTATACTGTTGCCATAAAACACACTCAACTGAAACTGGACAGTCAAGATTTTATTATATGGTATTTGAAATTAAAGCATAAAATCTTAAATTTTCAAAGTGGGAATTATTCCCCAAAACCTCAACTAAAACTCAAAGATTTTTTTTTTCTTGTTTTGGACATTATTTTGCAATTTAGACAAAGAAAAATTATAAATAACCACTGTTCTACCATAAACTTGCTGAGTTCTTTACTTAGCTGTGCATAAAAAAAGAAAAAGACTTGCACTAGTTTTCTTTTCTTTAATCTTTGCAGCATTTTGAAGTAACAGGTCATAAAGGAAATCCTTATTATGAATGAATGAGTAGGGTAAATAAATTCCGGTCAGCATAAAAACCAGATGGCGCTTATCTCCCAAAGGACCACTGCTTTAGAATGAGTTTAAACAGTGACATTTTGAATTCTTTTTTTATTTTAAATTTATTTTGTTTTTCCTTTGACTTGCTAAAGCAGCAATGCTGGACTTGGAAGTCAGGTTAATAATCAGAGAGAAAAACTTCACCACGGTGGCACACCTGCCTCCTGTCCACTTACAAAGTCTGTTCATCTCTGTATCATGTTGGTCCCCCCCCCACCTCTGTTTCTGTTTTCTCCTTCATAACCTTTGTACTAAGCACAATTCCCCAAGTTTCTCTGGAAAACAAACACGTCCAATTGCTATAGCAGCCACTTAACCTACATTCAGAAAAAGCTATGTTAGGTGGATGATAGAAAAAAGGGGAAGTCATGTATCTGGGAAGATTTCTGTTTATTCAAAATGCCTTCAATTTTATTTAGAGTTGCTGTTGCATTTTTATGACACTGCACATGAGGAATCTTATTAGTTTGAAAAGATGCAAAGCAGTAACAATGGGGGACCACAAAGAAACGAAGCAGCATTTACTCCAAGTATAGATAAAAGAAAGCAAGTTTTTGAGTCAATAAAGCATTTATGCCTCCCAATAAGTACAGGACCAGTCTGAAGAAAGATACCATTGTTATCGTACAGGCTCTTTTATAATACAAATCACTCCAAAATATCTTATGTAGCCTGCTTCAGATTGCTTGCATTTCCAGTATGTTATATATAATTTATTTAAACTATACGTCTATAATTTCATTTTTTCAAAATATAGGCATTTAAGTATGACTGGAGATACAATAATTTATAGACATTCAGCACTGATCTCCACATAAATATCAGGCATTATTCCAAAGAATCTTTCTGCAAGCTATAGGGTTGGAAATTTAAATTATGAAAAGACAGTGAATCAGAAAAACACAGGAAATGTCCTTCTATCAGTCTGAAGCAGGTGTCTTGGTAATGCTCTGGCAGAGGGAGAATAACGAGGGGCTTTGTAGAAACCACACACATTCACTACTTAGAGAAATACTGTGCCCTGGGAAAGGCTGTCTCCCTAACTAGCCTGCCCCTTCCCTAAGAAAACATGCTCCAAACCATGCAAGTGCACTCTTTATTTAAATGTGCTTAGAGGAAGAGACCAGCAACACAGAAGAGGATAAATACTTTTGAAAGGCTAAATTCCAAGTCCTAAGAAATTTCCACTAAGAACACAAGGATTTCCTTACTACTCTTTCAGAATGCTAAGAAAAACAAGAAGCTTTAAATTATAAGAACTACAGATTTTACTCTTCTGTCTTAGGCAGAAAGTATCAGCATAACACAAGTTTTATCATCTCAAAGTGGTAATTCACAATGGTTCTTAAAGTTATCACAGCTAATCCATTTGAACTTACTTGCAGGTCCTCAGAGTTTGAAAAGCTGCTCAACTAGGAATAATTGCTGGAGGAGCTTTGCAACTTAAGGATATCAAACAAGCACGTGTGTTAAAGATGTACTCTTGCCTTCATTACAGAACATTTCATGGAAGAATTATTATTGTAGTAGACACTATTTGTGCCCCACCCAGATCCTCTTAGCAGGCCAGAGTCCTATTACTTGTGCTATTGGGAGTATTGGCTACTCAAGGGTTAGACGCTGCATTCTTTTCAGAGAATGTGCCCTTGTCCAAAGGGAACTACATCTAGTATTCTCTCATGTGTTGTCCTTTCCCCACCTAAGGACTAGGGCACTGCCAGACCCAGAAGTCCTGTTTCTGTGGAGCTGGTCATGCTCCAGGGGCACCTCGTTTACTGAGCCAGAAGCCAGGCTTCTGTTGAATGCACTTCTCAGACTTTATGCATCTCCTCTGTTCTGCTTCTCTCGTGTTTCCACGTTTTCACTGAGAACCCTCTTTCAACAAATAAAATTAACAAGATGATCCATTGCAATATCTATGCCTACCAATCCAATATATGAAAACTTTGATCCTACGCAAGAAAATTGGCTTAAACTCTGAATCAATACCTTGACAGGATGAAGGTTTGTGGTGGTGATAATTTTGTGCAGTGGGCCTGCCAATTTGGGAGGCAGTTTTGGTTCTTTATCCAGTCCCTGGGGTTTAGTGTAGTAATCCAGTTTCTCTCGTGGAAAGAAATTGTTGATTATAGTCACACAATCATGCTGACCTTTGAATGGAAAAATGGAAAATGTGTTAGTTTATTATAAAAAAACAAGATATTTTTAGATTTTTTTTTAATCTAAAGATGCTCCTCTGTTTTCTAATGACATAAGCATGCATCAATACTTTTTATTTTACAGAGCTGGAAAAAAAGTTCTTTTAGAGAACATTTACAGGCATGCCTTATAAGTAGTAAAATAATTTCATTTTAAAGATAAAGATTACACATATGATGAGTGTATGTATTACAAAACAGCAGTGTACAACTTAAAATTCACTTTATATGAATATTTTAAAACAGTTGCTTCTAATCTATTGTCTTATCTCTCACCCTAACAAAAATGATAGTCACGCTTCCCAATCATACTTGACTTTAATTATGTAAAAATTTATTTTTATTAAGTTAATTCTGCCCAATACTCTGCATTTAAGCAAAGCTTGGCCTCTTGGTGAATTAGAGAAAAGGCTTTTGTTCCCATAAGCTTCCAACCCATATAACAGCTTGTCATAAGCCACTTCTCTGTAATTGGAAATGGTTCTATGAAAGTAAAGCTGTCCCTGGAGAAAACTGGTAGCCTGGACTTGTTGCCTCCTCCTTACCAGCTCCCTCTTCATTATTGCTGTGAAGCAAAGAAGCTGCCACTCTGGGAAAGCAAGCAGAGCCTGCAAGGTACTTTTGAAGGGGCAGACCCTTTGCTCCTCACTGCTTGATGAGGGCAGAGGGACAGTGGCAGAGTGTCCTGGGGCAAGGGCCTCGGTGAATGGCTCCTTGCAAGTGGCCCACTCTAGATGACCTGTAAACCCCCTGTCAACTTGTGCATGATCCTGAGAACATCAGCTTGATGCTACTGACAACAGATGACCTGCAGGAGGATTTCGCTCTCGGCTGAATGGACACTAGGACTCAAGGGTGGCATAGAGCTCTGCGTGCCCCTGAGCATTGCTGAAAGAACCCAGAAGTGAAGCAGCTTTCTTCTGGACTAAACGTCTGTGGTGTCTAGATCCAGGTCAATAGGTGGTACCTCTGACGACTGCTTTTTCTTTATGAAAGGAAAGCTAAAAATGATAAAATTCAGAGACAAAATCATTACAGACATGAAGGAGCTGAAGGACAGACCAGGCAATATAACAAGGGAAAAGTGCAATTCTGGAAGGAATGATTGGAGATGCAGTCACCATTGCAATCACTAGATTTTATTCACTCGATAGAAAGAGCTCTCTGAGACCCAGGCAGGATTCGTGAAACCCACCCTTCCTTCCCCCACAACAACTGGATGCATTAATTTCAAAGAAACATCAAACAATCTCCAGAATTAAAAATGAGATATTTACAAAAGAAAGGAAATGCTATTTTCATTTCCCAACCAGCTTTGGAAGATTCTATTTAAAAGATCTACATGAAATGGAAAAGAAAGAATGCTGATTCTGTGATATAAAAATCATGAAACTAGCCAAAATATGCCTAATTTCTCAAAGAGAAAGATATTTTTTGGTTATAAAGGGTTTTCAAGAATATACCCCCTATATAAGCCTTTCTGGGGAAAGTCTATAATTGAAATTTAAATGAGAATGGAAATCTCAAGATAAAAGGCAATCTGAATTTACATTAAAATTTCAAATATAAGTATACTTTGTCTAAGTAAATTCATTTCTGGAGATGTATCTGACAGAAGTTAAAGCACTAATTCAAAATAATTATGTTATTTGCAGTGGAATGGTTAATCTCACCCCAGTCAGAATAGCAAAATTTAACAGAACAGCAAGCAACAAATGCTGATGAGGTTGTGGAGAAACTGGAAACCTTATTCACTCTTGGTGGGAGTGTAAAATGGTGCAACCACTGTGGAAAGTGGTATGGCACTTTCTCAAAAAGTTGCAAATAGAGATAGCATTTGACCGAGCAAGTCTACTACTGGTAATATACCCTAAAGAGACCATAACCACCATCCAAGCAGATATATGCACACCCATGTTTATTGTGGCTTTGTTCACCATAGTAAGGAGTTGGAAACAACCTAAGTGCCCATCAACAAACTAATAGATAGAGAAGCTGCGGTATATTCACACAATGGAATACTATGCTACATTGAAAAACAAGGAACTCATGCAATATTATTCAAAATGGGTGACCCTCGAGGACATTATGCTGAGTGAAATATCTCAGTCACAAAAGCACAAATACTGTCTAGTGCCACTGTTGTAAAATAGGACTGACATCATGGTTGGGGGGAGACTGAGAAAGATGGGTTCAATAATGTATAGTACATTGAAACAGATGAGGGAGAAAACTGTTTAAAAGGGATAGGTGATTAGGTATTTTTGTCATGACAAGAGTTCAGAGCAAAGGCTGCATAGAGGAGTGGACCGAGGGGAGGGATTGTAAAACAATTAAAGAATTTTTCTTTTACTTTTCCAAGAGGTAGTGTATTAGGAGGGAGGGTTGGGAGGAAAGAAAAGTGCAACAATGAATGAATGGAAACCCAAAGTCTCTGTAAATTTTCATTGAAATTAGTACTAAATTTTAAAAAAATCTGTAAAATCCTTCAACAGAACAGAGCTCTAACTTTGTTATAATTATACGATAGAATATTATAAAGTGACTAAAATGATTGTATTCATTTACACCTACTGAAATATGAGAGAAGACCATGATGCATAGCTAAGTAAAGGAAACACAGTGCAAATTTTATATTGTTATTGTTGTTATGTGTCGAGTTACCTGAGACTCATAACGACCCTGTGTCCAACAGCCCTAAACTCTGCTCTACATTGTGCCAATCTTATTGTCTCTGACATACTTATTTCCATTACCCCAGTCACTGAATCAATCCATGTCATCGAGGGTCTTCCTCTCCTGTGCTGTCCCTCCACCCTCCCAAGCATGATGCCCCTCTCCAAGGACAGGTCCCTCCTTGCAACATGTGCAAAGTATGTCAGAAGAAGCTTCATAATCCTTGTCTCCAAGGAGCAGCCTCGTCTTATCCTCTCTAAGACAAACCTGTCTGTTCTCCTAGTAGTCTATGGTATATTCAATATTTTCCTCCAGCACCACAGCCCTGAGGCATCAATTCTCCTTCTATCATCCCTAGTCATTGTCTAGATTTCTGATGCATAGCAAGTAGTTGAAAAGACTATGGCCTGGATCAGACACACCTTGGTCTCCAGACTGACATCACTGCTCTTGAGTACTTGTACTTTGGAGAGGTCTCTGACACCTGACTTTCCCAATACAATTTGTCTTTTAATTTCCTGGCTGCTGGTACCAAGAGTGTTGACTGTGGAACCAAGTAAACTAAACTGTTAACAATCACATCTTCACCATCTATCTTGATGGTGCCAATCAGCACAGTGGTGAGAATTTTTGTTTTCTTGATATTGAGCTTGAGTCCATATTGAAGGCTGCAGTCCCTGTCCTTCTACAGCAAGTGCTTCAGGTCATCCTCAGTTTCAGCAAGCTGGGTTGTGTCATCTGCATAATGCAGATTGTTCATGCGTCTTCTTCTAGTCCTGATGCTACATTTCTCCTCATATAGCCCATCCTCCCAGATAATCTGTTCTGCATACAGATTGAAAAGGTATGGAGATAGACACATCCCTAGTGTACACCCCCCTTCCAGTTTTGAACCATGCAGTGTTTCCTTGCTCTGTTCTGATGACTGTCTCCCAGTCTAAGTATAGGCTTCACAAAAGCACTATCAAGTGTTCTGGAGTTCCCTTTCTTCTCAGAGTCAGCCACAGTTTGTTGTGATCCACACAGACAAATGCTTTTACGTAGTCAATGAAACACCTACATTCCTCTGATACTCTGCTTTCAGCCAAGATCCAGCTGACTTTCACTATAATATCCCTAGTGCCATGGCCTCGTCTAAACCCAGCCTGCACTTCTGGCAGTTCTCTATCGATGTGCTGTCTCTGTCATTTCTGAATAATCTTCAGCAGAATCTTGCTTGCATGTGATATCAATGATATTTTTTTATAACTTCTGCACGCTGTCGGGTCACCTTTCTTTGGAATGAGAACAAATATAGATCTCTTCCAGTCAGTTCTTTATATTACTTCTTTTAAAATGACAAAAACCTTGTACATACCTGCGGATACATATGTACAATGCTGATTATCTTATGAGGAACAAAAGGAGAGAGAACATGTTCTTTAAAAGAAAAATATGTAAAATATAAATACTGAAACAGTATAATGCAATCTACCTATGAGATGATTTTAAATAGATAAGAATGGAATGAAAACACTACTCTGATTTTAACATTAGATTGTAGACAATTTGTCCTTTAGATTTTACACATACACAGCTTGACCATAGCAGAAATAGCAAGACTGGTACTAGACACAGCAAGGTTTCAATCTATTGTTCATGAGCTGTACTGGATCTGATAGTATCAAATAACAGAATGTATAGACATGGTATGTGTATCTCAAACAATTCAACTTATTACCATCATGGTCAGATCTAACTCACAGCTGAGATTCGGGTGAGTTTTCAGAGGCTGTAAATGACATAGGAGGAGATTACTCATCTCTCTCCCTCAGAGCAGCTAGTAGAACATGTCATTGGGTTGGCAGCACAACTCCTTATCCACTAGGCTACCAGGACTCTCTTGAGAGGCAGAGATAGAGACAGAGATAGAGATAGATCGATAGATCGATAGATCGATAGATAGATAGAAAGATAGATAGATAGAAGTGTGTGTATGCACACATATGTATAGTGATAATTTATAAAGATAAAAAGATTATTTTGTACTGTGGTTGAAAAACCAAGTATGTGTACCTTCAGCCACATGACCTTGGAAAAGTTAATTACCTTCTATGAATATCTAACTCTGCTTTGTTATGCTATGAACAGAAAGAAAATTTGTAGAGTTAAACAGAACTTCAGAGATTATTTCATTCCCTTCTTCACAGTACAGAACAGAAAATTGAGCCCTAGGAAGTGGAGAGATTTGGCCAGCATCCTACAGATAATTAGCAAGACACACAGTGCTCTTTTCTGCCTAAATAATACCCGCAAAATGAAATTAGAGGAGGGCTGGAGGATAACCACAGGCCTTCCAGCTGGAGGAAATAAAATACTAAAGCATAAACAAAAAGGGCATATCTTTCTCAAATCCTCCTGAAACTAAGTTAAAACTACATAAGAACACTTGCTTTCACATTGTTGTTGTTGTTGTTGACTGCCATCGAGTCGAGCAGCACTCATAGTGACGCTATGAACAAAAGGCTTAAAGCCTTTCTATAACTATCGACATTTATCAAAGTTCATAGAGTTTCCAGATACATTTTGCTTAGGAAGAGGATAGATGGATAGATAGATAGATAGATAGATAGATAGATAGATAGATAGATAGATAGATAGATGATCGATAGATAGATAGATAGATAGATAATCTTTGATAATAAAATTTAGAACAAATAATTGTCACTCCTTACACTTAATTCCTTCTTGAATCTTCCTTTAAATGTAATTTCTCTCAAAATATTGTTAGAATTGGATAGAAAATTCTCTTCTGTGTATTTCTATGGGAAACATAAATTATTTCTTTGTGTGTACATTGTTTGTGACTGCTGCTAGGCTCTATGTGCCATGAAGGCTAGGACAATGTCCGTATTGTTCATGCGAGTAATCAAGGCACTTTGAAAGATTTGTGGTATATAGGTGATGAATGTGAAGTATTTGGTAAGTGAATTATTAGCCCCACAAGGTCTCTTACTTGATTTTTAGTGATCAGTTTTTCTATCTTTGCTTTTCTACCAATAAACCCTCTAATCTGGGAATTCAGTCAAGCTATACTATAATGGCCAAGTCTTCATTCTTACACTCTACTAAGCTTCTTTGTCACTTATGCTGAAGTACTAGGTTTAGCATGATTGGAATTACTGTATACACAAAATAAATGTTTGTGAATATCACTTGTACGAGCTCTGGTCGCCTACAGGTAAGGAGAGGCACTACTAATGTAAAACCACCAGTTCAAATACACCAGCTGCTCTGCGGCAGAAATATAGCTAATCTCTTAAGTGACTTTCAGCATCTGAAAATCCACTGGAGAGTCAGCTATGAGCAAGTTCCGACTCGACAGCACGTAACAACAATAACATATTATACCAAAGATTCTTTCCTAAGGTAGACTTACACTGCATTGATTACAATTTTTGGAAGTAATTGTTATCACTTATTTAGTGCTTACTATAAATTATTTAAGTATTTCATTTAATTTAAACTAAAAATTCTTTGCCACTGAGTGTGAAGTGACTTCTACCTGATCTTGTGGATTTCTAAGGCTATAAACTGCAGGAGGAGACTATTCTTCCTCACTCAGAGCTGCTGGCAGATTATGTCAGAGAAGCTCAGACTTTGTGTTAGCTGTGTAACTCCTTATGGACTAAGCCACTACATTTATTCCTTTCAATAACCATGTAAATAGTTTTAATGGGGAAAGGGATGATTCAAATCATTAAACTGCTTGCTATTAAGTGGCACAGAAACAATTTCAAACTAAGATTACTGATTACACTGTCAACAACTGTATATTTCTAATGACTCCACATTGTTCTTGCTGTTAGGTGCTGTCAGGTATGACTCATAGCAACGGTATGAACAGTAGATTTGAACCCTGCCCCATCCTGTGCCATTCTCATTATCCCTGATGCACTAGGGCCCACGGCCAAATTCATTGTGTCAGTCCATCTTGGCAGGGATCTTCTCTTCTTCACTGACACTCCATTTTTCCAGGCATGCTGACCCTTTCCAAGGAACAGTTACATCTAGCTACATGTCCAAAGCATGAGAGACAAAGCTTTGTCATCTTGGCCTCCAGGAAGCATGCTGTCTAAACTTTCTCCAAGACACATCTGTTTGTTCTGTTTGTCCATGGGATATGCAGCATTCTCAAAAGCATCAATTCTTCTTCTGTCATCCTTATTCACTGTCCAGTTCTCTGATGCGTGGCAGATGACTGAGAAGACCACGGCCTGAATCAGGTGCACCTTAAATCTTCAAACTGAAATCATTCTTCAGTATTTAGAAGAGTTCGCTGATAAGAGACTTGTCCATTGCAGTATGTCTTCTGATTTCCTGACTGCTGGTACCCAGGGTGTTGATTGTTATTCAAAGCAGATGAAACCATTGATAGCTTCAGTCCCTTCTCCATCTATCATAATGTTGACTGATGGTTCTGTGGTGCCTTTGCTTTCTTGATGTTGAGATGTAATCCATACTGAAGGCTACGGTCCTCAATCTTCTGCAGCAAGCATTCCATATCCTCCTCACTTTCAGCAAGCAAGATTGTGTTCTCTGCATAATGCAAGTTGTTGATGAGTCTTCCTCCATTCCTGAGTTCACATTTCTTTTCATAGAGTCCAGTTAATGAATTATTTGCTCAGCATACAGACTGAATGGGTTTGGAGGAAGGATACATCCCTGATGCATACCTTTTCTGATTTTAACCCATGCCATGTTCCGTTGCTCTGTTTGGACAGCAGCTTCTTGATCTAAGTATAGATTTCTCATTGGCCCAAGTAAGTGTTCTAGGATTCCCATTCTTCTCAGTGTTAGCCACATTTTTCATGATCCACACAGTCAAATGCCTTTGTGTAGTTGATAAAATGGAAATAGATTTCAGAGTCACCAACTGTATATTCCCTTACACAATTAAAACATACTATTCAAAGCACTGGACTACCACTAAAAAGGCCTTAGCACTCATTGGACTTTACAAAGTGGAAATTCAAAATACTTTGCTCATTTTCTAATAGGAGTCATTCAGTATTTCATTAAGATAGATATAACCTAGAAGTATGATTTTTAATGGAGTTCTAGTGGGCCAGTGGCAAGAATATGTGCTGCAATCCCAAAGGCATGCAGATCAAACCCACCAGCTGCTCTGTGGGAGAAGGATGGGCAATCTCCTCATGTGCGATTAACTGCCTCTAAAAACCTGCTGGAAGGTCAGCTGTGGGCCGGTTCCAACTCAACAGTACACAACAACAACAACAAAATATGATAGTATTTACATTCTGAAAAACAGAGTGGCATTCTTACACCATGAAATATTAGGGTGTAAACGAATATATTTTTGCTATTGCTGTTGGCAGGTGGCATAGAGTTGACTACAACTTATAGCAACTCCGTGAACCACATGCCTGAACCCTGGCCTATCCTACACCACCTTCAGGATCTCTGACCAGCCTGAGCCCACTGGTCCAGCCACTGTGCCGGTCCATTTCATTGATGGTTTTCCTCTCCTCTCTGATTCCCCACCTTTCCCACAATGGAATCTTTGTCACCATTCACCAAGGACTAGACCCTCTTGATAACAAGCCCAGGGGTGTGAGATGAAGTTTCCCCATCCATTAGTTTATATTCTAAAAAGTTATTATTAATTTTATAAAAAAACCCTATTTCTAGAATCCACCTTACCTCTGTAACTTGATTTGTGCCACTATTAGAACCTCTACTCAGAATATTATTGCTTTTCAATTTTTGACTCATGCACTTTTAACTTGTTAGTTAAATTTGTATCTTCTAGGCTGCAACACTTCCATGATACATCTTCAAGGATATGAACATGTACGGCTAAGCACAATCGAACAGTGCATCTAAATTCCAAAATCAATCTCCATAATAGTCTATGTGTTTCCTACTGCCAAAGGGGACCTTTGGAGTAGTGAGAGAAGACATTCACCCTGAAACCCACAGCGTCCCTTTTCAGCAGGAAGTAGCTAAGAGAATACGCCATCCCCTTTTCCTTATGAATCAGGGTGAAGTCTCTCTCAGGGAGGAGTAATAGGGAATGGCAAGGGACACACTGACAAAGGAGATTAATCAGAACTGGCTTTGACAAGCACTGTGGCAATTGGACAATTAAAACAGACATTGGGGGGGGTGGGGGAAGAAGAACCAACTGGGGATGAGGGTGGAGAAAACAGTGCAACAATGAATGAATGAAAACCCAAAATCTCTGTAAATGTTCATTAAAACTAATAAAATTTTTTAAAAAACAACCTATTTCATTATTTACATTGTAAACTAATACAAGATTGGAGTAAAAGACTCACCTACAAATGCTGCCATCTGAGCGGCTGTTCTTCCCACAGAGTTGACAACATCTGTCTCGGCGCCAGCCTCCAACATTGCCCAGGTGATGTCTTTATTACCTGGAGCAATATAATTAGTGCTGTTAATAAAGAACTCCAAACATCTCCCTTCTATATGATCAGGTTTTGGAGTTGTTTTTTTCTTTTTCATTTAATTTTACATTTCTGCCCTGTGGACATTTTTCCCCCTCAAATAAAAAATAAGGCTACAAGAATCTGATTACCAGCCAGCAAGGAAAAGCAGAGACTGTAAAACAATAATAAATGACATAAAGGGATATAATCTTTAGGGAGTAGAAGCCGAGATGGAGAGTGGGATGAGGGGGAGCAGAAGCCTGTAGCCTTGACTAGAGTATCAGAAAGGTGTGATTTGGTGACTTCTCCTTTAAATAGGAAAACTTCCTGCAGTTTCGCTTGGCATGCTGAATCTCCTGACTCTTGTCTCTTAATTTGGGATGGTGCTGGCAAGGTTTACAAAAGCTAAAAAAGAAATGTAATATTATTTCCTTTTTGCAGTAAAACTAAATATTTGCTTTTTCTAATAACAAAGTTAAAACCCCAAACCAAACTTGCTGTCATCTAGCCAATCCCAACTCTTAATGACCCAAAAGGGCAGAATAGAACTCTCCTAGAGGGCTTTCAGAGCTGTGATCAGAAGCAAATTTCCACGTCTTTCTCATGCAGGGCAACTGGTGAGTTCCAATTGCTGAACCACTCTGTCCCAGGGCTCCCAAAGAAAGACAAGAGAGGTAACATTAGCAGAAGTTCTTCTTTAATACCTATTATCTCACTCTCTCTCTTACATGTTGATGATGGTGGGTGCTTTCGAGTATGAATCATAGTGACCCTGTGTACAACAGATATGAACCTTATCCTATCCTAACCTGTCCTCTCTGACACACTTGAATACACTGCTATAGTCACTGTGTCAACCCATCTTGTTGAGAGTTTTCCTATCCTTCATTGACACTCCACCTTTCCAGACAAGATATCTCCCTCCAAGTAATAGCTCCTCCTAACAATATGTCCAAAGTATGTGAAACAAAGCTTCATCATCTTTGCCTCCAAGGAGCATTCTGGCTGCACTTTCTCCAAGACCTATCTGATCCTTTCGCAGCCCATGGGATATTCAACACTCTTCTATAACACGATAACTCAAAGGCATCAATTCTTCTCCTCGCAGTTTTATTGACTGCCCAGCTCTCAGATGCACAGCAGGTGTCTGCAAAGACTATAGCTTGAACTGTATACACCTTAATCTTTAAACTGACATCATTGCCCTCTGCATTGACATCTGCAGAGAAATGTCTGACAGTAGATTTTCCTAAAACTATATATCTTCTGATTTCCAAAATGCTGGCACCATGGGTGTTGATTGTGGGTCCAAGTAAGATGAAAATGTTGACAATTTCAAACTTTTCTCCATCTGTCATGATGTTGATGATAGGCACAGTGGTGAGGATTTTTTTTTCTTGGTGTTAAGATATAATCCATATTGAGGGATGTAGTTAGTCCTTCATCTTCTGCAGCATGTGACTCAACTCCTTGCTTTCAGACAGCAAGGCTGTGTCATCTGTATAATTCAGGTTGTTGACGAGACTTCTTGCAGTCTTGATGCTACATTATTTGTCATAAAATCAGCTTCTTTAATGATTTGCTCAATATATAGATTGAATCAATATGAAGAAAGTATACAGCCTTAATAGACACCTTTCCTGATTTTAACCAAGGGAACAGTGTTCCCTTGCTCTTTTCAGTTGATAGCTTATTAGTCTATAGATTTCATATAAGCAGAATTAAGTCTTCTGGAATCCCCATTCTTCTCAACACTAGCCATAGCCTGTGATAATCCACAAAGCCAAATGCCTTTGCAAGGTCAAGAAAACTCAGATAAATGTTCTTCTCGTATTCTGTGCTTTCAACCAGGATCCATCTGACATTAGCAATTATATTTCCATTGCCA